CCTAAATGCAGTCCTGGATAAAGCTTTGTAGTTCAGCCACCATAATACTCTGAACATTAGGCGCTGACCCACATCTGCTCTTATACGGGTAACATGGCGCCTCAGCTGCAGGCCCAGCTGTTGCCATGTATTATCTCACTGACTATCCCTGATGTGAAATGTGAAATGCAAGACAAAACATTATCATGGGCTAATCCGACCGAGCAATGGCAAGAAAGTTATCTACAAAATACCCTCTAATAAAATAATAATCATTATTATTATTGTTATAATAATAATCATTGTTATTATTGTTATAATAATGGCCACCAGTTTTCTGTTCCTCTCTCCCCATACTGACTCACTGTAATGAATATTCAGCTGCCAACTTTGCTCCAATTCTCCAACCAGTTTCACCGTCCTCATCAGCCACCACTGCTCTACGTACAGTGCCATATGTAGATATAAATAATGACTCCTCAGTGATTATTATTAATTCAGTGTTTGCTTGAGTATGGTGCATGCAAATGAAGCAGTGGGTGTAGAGGTCTATAGGTTATCTGCAGAGTTAGCGTCAGTCATTAATTGATTCGTCTGTATTAGTAAAGCTATTATTTGTCCTATTTTCACAAGGTCTGGAAGTAAACTACAAGTTATTCTTAGCTTAACATCACAATCGTTTGTTCAAAAGGAGATCTCTCTCTATCTCTCTCTTGAGGCTAACAACAGGATTTTCTTCGTGGCTGTCATTGAATTCAGTGCAGTAATATTTTAAATTATTTCACATTCATAACGACAACAGCAGCAGTATTTGGAAGGAGGAAGAAGGCAATGTACAGCAAGAGAGAAAATGGTATGTCAGAGGTTTTGGATTGAAAGATAATGTTGATGATGATTAGAATATTGATCCTGATCACCCACCTGTTATAAAAGAAGCAGTGGAAAGCCACCCACTCATTGTCATTAGTCATCACTGGCTCCTTTCAGCCTACTGCAGTACATGCTGCCACCCATGATTTAGCTCTCCATCCAGTTATGAGGGGGCGGTACGCGTTTATTATGCAGCACAGTCCTCGTCCCAATGAGATTGCAGAATGTTGCCCGATCGATACCCCTCACAGGAAGCCAGGTTAATTCATTTTTTCAGGATTTGTTTGCGTCTCTGAGGGCCCTCCCTCGCTGCAGGTTGTGACGCAAGCTATTTCCCAGAGATCTGCAGAGTGATGTTTTGTCACTGCCGCACACATGCACCACTGCACAAAGGCAGAGGTACAGTATGTACAGGCATACAAATGCTTACACCATTCTTGTTTATTGTATTCCACTGTTGTTTTTATGTTGATGATAGTGAGGTTACATTGTGTTTAATTGGATCTCAGCTAGCACCTACCTGTACAGTTTGAGTCTGCAGGGTGTCTCCATTGTTAGTGTTTGGCCTTTATATCTGACCGTCGCCTCATGTACACAATGCTCTGCCTTTTGCTCCCCCCCGAATTGAATCTTTGAGTCAGTAACTCTACTTTTATAAACGTATTTCGTTTGTGACTTCTCATCTCGGCATTGCACTCATAACACTGTCGTCCCAGACACCATGGTTTCCAGATCTGTTGGGCTTATTTACAACCAAACGCACACAAACGTAACTGCATGTGCACAGATACACCAAGTGCTCAGTTTTGCACACATAGGCTACAGGCCAATAGTGTCAGACCTGTTAGCATGTGCATTGTACATAAAACCCCTGTACATCCTCTGGCTGGCAGACAGCTGCGGCTCTGAAAAGTACAGAACAAATGAAACGCTTGCTTGCCCAACTGCTCTTAAAAGAGGCAGAATCTCACACTTCTTCTGACTCAACAGAGATCTGATTAGTGTAAGACACTCTAAATCAATTCTGGATTTACATATAAATAAAACATATCATCCTTATCCATCAGATTACATTTGAAAACGTGAAGGAGAGACGAATATATGTATTTGTTATCACTATGATCATTTTGGTCACCACTCATCTTTATTGATTTTTACTGAGCATCATCAATCAAGGTATTTATAATGGATGCTGTCTGCCAGCGCATATCTCCCCAGAGGGAATTATCACCCCAAGCTCAGGTCAAGCAGAGATTTGATCTATTGTCAGGTAGATGAATGGATGTTTTTCTCCACAGCTACTGTGTTTTATGGGCACAGACGAGAGAGGGAGAAAGAAGGACGGTAAAGGTGAATAGAGAGAGATAAGTATAAAGTAGTCTAACGTCAGCCCTTAGGACTCAAAGCTTTTAAAATATTCAGAGCTATTCTCCATCACCTTTTGCCCTGGTTGCTTGTTCAAGAAAGGATTGAAATGAAATCAATAGCAGTGCCAGTGCTGGCCTCTCTGCCAGGCATCATCCAATATTTATACAAATGAAGCTTCTCAACCTCAAATGGTACTCATATGGTACCCAGCAGTTTTGTTAAAGGGGCTGTAAAGGACTCTAAGGGGGTGAAAATTGCAGACAGGATGTACATATAATAAAATACCTACCTTACTCACTACAGTCAATTGCATTCACATGATATGACAGGTTATGATTAACAGCTATGTTGAGTCTTAAAGTAGGATGCCCTTGGTATCATAAATACTAAATGGAACATAAATCCCACCTGGCAACTTTAAGCTATCATCCCGCCCTAAAATAACTCTTAAAAAAACACACACAGTGTTTTGTTATTTGAGCACTGCATTTAGTTGTTTCTCAGAGATAATCAACTTGTTAACAGCCAAAAAAACATGAAAGTACATTGTGGGTATATGGCTCACACTGCACCTTTATTTTGAATCCTACATAGGCCAATGCCTCAGACATTGCTTGAATGGTAATTACTGGAAAAGGGTCCCTTTACTGTCACGGACCACTGAGGGCAGTTTCTGATAAACGCATCATTCAGCGCAATTTGGCATGGATGTGTGTGAAGACAAACTACTTAAACACAATTGTGAGCAGAAATACGTACAAATATATAGACGTTAAAGTTGTGAAAACTGATTGATGAATTCCATGTTGTATGTTTTTAAAGAAATTTTGTAGTATTTTTTTTAAGAGTAGGTTTTAATGTCTCCCAATGAATTTATATTATATAACATAAAACGCATGTTTACTGCCGCTTGCATTTTTTAAAGAATGGACTAAGAAAATAGTTTTAATTTAGTGCACTCAAGTGCAAAACACTGAATTCCCAGCATATTCATATTAATAAGGATGATTAGTCTGAGATGGGATTTTACCTGAGAGAAATCCTACGAGCTGTGGAAGGAAAGGAAAGTAATTTGTATATCCTGTGCCTCACTTTGTAGGTCCCTTCACGATTTGACAATCTGTGATTACAAGAATTAACACAAATTGAATCAATTACTTTTTAGAGCTTGCAGTTTTGTCCAATGCCAGCGATATTTCCACAAAATACTGTAAACATGCTGGCCCGTTTTAACAATTACTGCCTTTTTAGACAGACAATATTTTATTTATTATTTCTATATAAATATATTGAATCCTCAACCCCAGCAAAAAAAAGTAAAAAAAAATGGCAGACACATTGTTGCTTCAGGGACATTTGCACTTCTTCACGCTATATCATCCACATGTTCCACCATTTTAGAACTCACCAAACGATCTCTAACCCAACCAATTCTTACCTGTTCTGACCCTTTGTTGCATATTGTGCAAATAACACCAGAACACCAACTACACGTACAATGTTGCTGATAACTTTGAAAATAACTTTTTACTCTTAAACGGAACTAATTGTGTAATGATTGTCAGTGATTTCTTAAACATTTTTATTCCTGCTGACTTACAAGTTGTAAACATTATCTTAATTTATCGCAAAATAACACAAAAATGATGCAGATTGATGCATTGAATCTTTTTCAGAAAAGCCGCTGCAAATTCAGTATACTGATGTTTCCTTAGCTGTGGAGGTTTGCAGAGTATGGTGCACAATAGGTAAAATGCAGCCACAGTATGATAAAATGCACACTAGAGAGCAGTCTGTTCCCTCTTTCCCGCAGTAGTTGTGATCCTCCATCTCCCTCTCACCTCCCCCCTTCTCACACAACATACTGTTCATGTCAAAGAACCCAGGAAACACAACATCTGTCAGTGCACGAATTTACACAATGAACACCAGAGGAAGAAGGATATATATACACCTCAGAATGACCTTGTATTCAACAAACATTTTACATCACATGAAAACACAGTGAAAAACATTGTATGTGCAAATCTTCTTTTAAGCTGCTGGATAAATTCTTCAATGATTGTGATACAATTGGAAATTGTATTTTGATTTCAGTTTGCATGGTTTTGATGATTGTTGCCTTTAAGTGTGCTTGATTCAGTGAAAGGAGGCATCGCTCCTCTGTGAAATCCAAAGAGTGAGAGGCAATAAGAGAAGCATAGCTTTAGATCTTTGACACTCTGCTTTCTTTACTTGGATGGTGCACAGATAGTGATGTAATAATATGGAAATAGGCTTGCCAATTGAAATGTGATAGATCAGTTGAATCTATTCTCAGATAGGCAATGTGAAGGGGGAAATCAACTACACTGATAGCGAGCCAACACATCAAATGATATGAGAGTTAAAACAGAGAAGAGATCTAAAAGACCATGGATTTTACATTGGAGATGAGATGCAGATATCCCTCTGCCCCCCTTTTTTCCGTATTTCATTTTTTTGGTTGGATACACTGCAGAGACATATCTCTCCTGTCCATTAGCGTAAAGACTGCGTCTATTGTCATCCATCCTTTCTGACAGGCTTCTCACATACAAATTACTTTACTGTGAAGAGCAATTCATTTATTTAAACATTTTTTTGTAGTTTACAAAAGAAATAGATTATCTTTTATAACTTTTTATCAACACTTGCAGTTCTTTTTTTTAACATATTTTACACAGACTTTTATTTTACATTTTTAATCCAACTTAAACATTTTTTTATATATTTTAAATGCTTGTCAAATATTGTGTTTACCATAATACAAATGGTTGTTTTTTTGAATTTTTTCATCTTTTGTGTGTCCCCAGTTTCTTTTCAAACAATAATTAAATGTCCTGAAGTAGAAAGACACATTAAAGCTCAAATATCCACCCATGAGAGAAAAGCCTCAGTGCCCACAATGTATTCCTCTCTGGTTTACTGTAGAACATCAACAGGTCCAAGAGTCAGGTGGCCATTATGCCCGGTGGCCTCAAATATGCAGCAGATAGCAGTAGCAGTAAATCCACTGCAAAACAGTCAGCCGCATAAAGCACACTCCTCCACATCACAGTGAGATGCTGTGTAAAAAGAGTCAGTAAAGATCCATTTATTCCTCCTGTCCCACAATAGTCCCCTCCCAAGTGTATCCAAAAAGGGGTTTACTGTATTTCCAGATAATCACAGGTAAAGACGTATTCATAACGCATGGTCACACCTCACATTCCCGAGATGGTTGCTGTTGACAAGTGCAAGAGCCATATTCATTGATGATTACCAGAGCTCCCTCAATGTGGTTAGGTTTATAGTCAACATAGTACTCCGGTGTAGAAATGGCAGCCATCTGCTGCATGCTTTGCTTTTGCTTCTGCTTACGGCGCTGGCTGCTGAAGCACTGCCTCAGTTGTCTTATTCCTGCTGGAAAGCACTTCCATGCCACATACAGCATGAGCACAATGATGAGGAAGGAAAAGATGAGTGCCATGGTGCCAGTCACCGTCTTGTGGATCTGCATGGTTCTCTCCAAGTCATCATGGCCCACTGTGACGGTGAAAGAACTGGTGACCACTTCGCTACCCTCACCCTCATAAGGGTTAGGGGTAAATGGGCCGAGGAAAACATAACCACCCTGGGCCAGATCCCTTGTAGAGGCGTACAGGCCTGCTGTAGTTACCTCCATTGGGGGATCCTCACAGAGCTGAAACGCATATACAGCATCCAACACGTCCTCGCCCTGTGCGGTGTCGGGGCTTGAACACAGCAGGGAATTGTCACGCTGGCCTCGGAAGGCGCTCAGCCAAGAGGCCAAAGCACACACGTTACGACTGCACTCCCAGTCATTCCCTGCCAGGGTAATGCTGTCCAGAGATGACCAAGAATCCAGGATGCGCTGGTCCACAGAGGTCAACCGATTGGAATCTAGCATCAGCACCTTGAGGTTGGGTGCGCTCTCGAAAACATGTGGTTCCATGTACTCTATTTCATTGGCTGAGAGGTCAATCTTCTCTAAAAAATGCCATGTCCAGTCCAGTGTATTGACAACAACAGTAGCACGATTGTTGTGCATGTACAGTGTACGTAAGGAGATGAGGCGGGGGAAGTGGGCCAGGTTGACTTTAACCAGTTCGTTGTGCTCAAGATGCAACTCAGTCAACTTGAAGAGGCCAGCGAAGGAGTTTCTCGCTAGGCTCTGCAGTTGGTTGTATCCCAAGTCCAGAAACTGCATGCTCCGGCAGTCTTGAAAAATCCGCACTGGCACAAATTTTAAAACATTGTAGCGCAAATGCAAATTGGTGAGCTTTCTAAGGCCGTGGAACAGGTCAGGTTCTAGTGCCTGCAGCCTGTTGTATGAGAGGTCCAGGATACGCAGGTTTGGGAGGGGCCTAAAGGTGCCATTTGGCAGACTGTCAATCCGGTTGCTGCTGAGGTCTAACTCCTTCACCCGTCTCAGCCTGTCAAATGCACCCTCCTCCACAATGTCAATGTTGTTGTGATCTAGGTAGAGCCAGGTGAGCTGTGACAGACCAACCAGTTGGCCTTCACGCAGCTCGGTCAAGTTGTTCTCTCTCATGGACAGGCCCATGGCGCTGCTCAGATTGCGGGGAATGTCTGTGAGGTTGAGCCCCTCGCAGTACAGCAGCTTGCTGTCGCAGCGGCACAGCCTTGGACAAACCCCCTCTACCAAGGGAACCGTTCTTAGAAAAATCCCCAATAAACACAGTAGCAACCCAGGGGGCTTCTTCAGTGGCCACTTTAAGTACAGTCCAATTAGAAGGAAATCCATTAGCATAAATATCCAGAGATGTCTCTGAGAAAATGTCCATTGAACCACTCTGGATATTGTTTTTGCAGCGATCACATCATATGTAATCAATCTAATAATCTGTTTCGTTCCAATTTTGTATTCTAGCTGTAGACAGGGATATTATACTTCTTTTACTTTGTCAACCGAGAGAATCTTTGTCGAAAAATGCAAAAGCATAGAGGGCAAGTCTCCTTGCTTATGTCAGATATCAAGCAGTGGGTGGAGAGTCGAGGGGATGGAAAAAATAAAATTGTCCTCATTGATCGATCTTATTTGAAAAGATTCCTACTCACCCCTATCCAAAAGCTGACAATCTCCATTCAGCGTCTCGCTTTGTGCCCCGACACTAATTATGTGCGAATCTAAAAAAGACCCCACTGTGGTACAAATTCTTTCCACCCCCCCTCCCTTCTCTCTTTTCAGTGGACACCAGATCCTTGGCAGGCTTACAATGTCTTAGTTCTCTTCAAGTGAAAGAGCCAGAAAGAGAAAGAATCCAAGTAGCTTTCAGCTAGATGGTAGGAAGTGCAAGTTCCCCTGTCTGCATACATGAGCTCTGTCTCTTTTGCTCCTCCGCAGTCCTCTGCTGCAATGATCAGAGGGAAGAAGAGTCCACAGAAAGGAAAAAAAAAAAAGACCAAGGAAAAATCTTTTTAAATATCTGTCTCGCTCTTTTCTCCTCCCCTTCCTGCTTAAGTTTCAGCAGATCTGTCAACACATATTAACGTCCATCTCTAGAAGCAATCACTGCCTTGTAATGTTTAAATCCATTCAAGCGGGTGATCATGCTTTCAGTGACGGATGCAGGAAAATAAAAAAAAGGATTTAAAGAGGTGAACCATGTTCACTGTTGTCTTTTGAAACAGTATTCCTTGTCATCTCAGTGGCTCATCTTGGTTTCGAAGCCGCTTGCATCCCCCGTGGCTTGCAGTTATCGTTCACTCCCTTGCTCTCCCGGTGTTTTCTCAGCCGGCTGGAAGAGGCTGCTGAAGGCTGGTGCTAGCAGGCAGGCAGGGACGTTAAATGTGGTAAGCAAAGGAGTACACAATCCCTTGCAGCAGAGCAGTACACTGACAGCGCATGCAGAAGCACCTTCTGTTCACTGAGTGTCGTAAGCCACTCACAATTCAGAGTGCTCGCTCTCTTTCCCTCACTCTCTTGCTCTCTTTCCCTTGATCGCTCACGAGCTTTTTCATGCTGTTCCCCTCCTCTTCCTCTCTCTCCCCTCCTCGCTTTTCTCTTGCAATGTTTTTCTCTGTGCCTGAGACATTTACATATTCAGAATGGGATGGGCTTAAACCAGTAGCTTTAATGACACCCCCCCCTCTCTCTCTCTGTCTCCCCCTCCTTCTCTCTCTCATCCCTCCTTCACTGACTGTAATGAATTGGGCCATATAACGTCTGCCTCCCTCGACGTTGCTATGAGAAAGCAGTTTTCTGATTTCAGAGTTGCAAAAAACATTCACCCAATGAACAAAAGGCTGTCATGTATTAGTTCCACCAATAACATAGAGAATAATTTGCATGTATATTAAAAATCAGATGATTGCACATATAGAAAAGTAAAAAAAGAAGAAATAATATAATCAGGAATCACCATATTCTCCCTCATGATCCGTATACAATATCCACACAACACACGAAATATATTCATTTCAGTAATGTTGATACAATTTACATGTACTCATCATTTTATAACTTTGGAATTTAAATATGACTTTGTGTAATAATAAGTCAATCTATGTCTATAAATTGTTGGCTAGAATATAGTGAGTCATGACTCGAGGATGACGTTCTTCATTTTATCAAACTGTCCTGTAGCCTGGCATTTAATGCCATTGTCAATTATGGCTAAGCTATCCATTCTGAATACAGATGTAATTGCTTGCCACATAATATTAGCATTAAGCGATAACATAAATATTCTTCTCTCAAGGTCCGCTCTCGTCTTGCTTTGCTTTTTTTATGGATTCACCCCTAGCCTTGTCATCGTTTTCCCATTAATTTGCAAGAACAACGAGCTGTGACAGCACCTTACATTCCTCATATCAGCCAAGTTTCGTACCATCTGACCTTCTTTTCCTCACTGATGCATTTTTACTGACAGATGTAATAACTTTGACATCAGGCCTCCTTGGTCATTTGGTTTTTTTTGTGTTTTTTAACAGATTTTACAATTATCCAAACTCAGTCTGAACAAAATGTATACAAAGATACTCAACTGGTGTAATATAAGAACCTGATGCATCATTCCCTCTACTTCGGAAATGGGGTTTTGTAAAACACAGGTTGCACTTGGGCTAAACCAAGTGAAGGCAAAAGCCCAGGGTTTGTGTCATGTTTTAACATGACGTGCACAGCATGACGTGCACAACATGCACAACATGACGTGCACAACATGACGTGCACATGACGTGCACAGCGTCTGTTTGTCTGCTTGTGTTTACTGTAAAGTGGTGTTTTTGTTGGACCTGGTAGTATGCCGTTACTATCCACTGTAGAATAGCTGTTTAACTGAGAAAGGGCTTTCCAAAAATTCTAATTTGTTTTACTGTACAACCATATCTTGTCTAAGCTCCGCTCTTCAGTCATATGTGTATGTAAGAGTCAAATATATCAAGTACTAAATCAGGAGAGTTAGCCTCAAAATGCTGGGTAGAAGATTAGACGGTATTTCATCAGACAAAAATAATCCCCACCCAGTGGTATAACCCATTACTGCAACATCACCACAGGCCTTTCTGATTGTTACACTACCAATATTTAAACTGTTTATCTAACTTAGCTTTATTGAAAAAAAGAACAAATAGATGCTAATATCCAGTGTATATATATATGTATATGTATGTGTATATATATGTATGTATGTGTGTATATATATGTATGTGT